TACATATTTTTTTTAATAAATATATAACAATAATTATTATATATGACATACATTATATCATGTTCTATATCCTATAATCAAAACAACAAATATTCCTCAAAATCTCAGATTTTGCCTGGCCTGAAGGTTTCTTCATTCTTCTCTGTTCATTCAACACACAACTATGGATCAACTCTATCATGCTCTCAACTTGGTCTTCAACTGCCGCCCATGATATTTTTCACTCACCAGAATCACCTGGATCCTGCCGGGTCTCAGCCCTTTCTCCTCCACATGCTAAGATCTCGTCTTCCTCCCAGTTTTATTGGCGCGAACACAAATTTGACCATGCTTGTAACTCACAGGTCTGTTTCTCTACCTCACATCTGTCTCCTTCTGTCCAAACCAAAGTGTTAGGCATAGATTACTGGCTCCCCTCATGCATGACCTGTACATCAAACTCCATAAACTGAAACAGAAATCTCCTTGTACCTCCAGCAAACCTTAACCACCGCCTCCATTTATCTTGCCGCTCAGGACCAATGACTACTGTGCTACACTGGACTCACACGTATTTAGACCTTCACCTCAAAATGCTATATGGGCCCCAGAGATTAATTTTGCAAATTAAAAAAAAACCCCACAACACCAAAGTTTAGCTAATTTCATATCCATCCAGCTTAAACATTCAGCTATCATCAGGTCATCCCTCAAATCCTCTTCTCGCCAGTGCAAGCCTGTCCTGCTGATAGTCTAATCACAATCCTGCAACACATGTAATATATTTTACCTCTCTCTTTGTATTCCTCCGATGAGTCCCCTTTTCTACTGCAGAAAACATAAATGGCTTATCTTCACCTTCAAAGACTCTCACAGCCTATTTCCACCTTGCCTGTCCTTTCTCATTCAGTACTGTGACACTTCTGCTCAAGGTAAACTTTGAAGCAAGAATCTTTGTGGTTTTCCCCTTGTTGCCCCTAACATGGGAGTATCAGCAATACCGCCATCCCATTATCCTCCTTCAAACTTTCCTTTGCCTTGATGGCTACAAAGTTCTGGACACAAATTAGGTTACTGGTATGTTAAAACTTTTACTTGTCAGGCCAGAAAATGCAGACTCCCATGTCTTCTATTATTTTATTATTTACTTAACACTTACAATGCAGGCTGCCCCTGTGGCAAAGACTGCCTTTTTTTTCTACATCCGTAAAACCCATCACTCAGAAGGTTATAGTCCATGACAAGTGCTTCCAGGCAATATGGTAATACAAATCTCCCAACATGATTCAGAAATTAATGAAGTTACTTTTCTGGTTTTTTTTAATCATTTCATGATTCTAGTCATTTATGTTTTGGTTTCTGCCCCTGAGGCAATATACTCCTACTTTTCTCCACATCCATGAGGGACATAGTGTTTTTAATGGACATTGGTATTTTCCTATACGCCTATGACGCCAGGAACCAGAAGCAGCACAACCACACAGCATTTCATTATGAGACTCGTGATAAAGTTCAGACTTGGCCAAGACGGAGGTTTCACTTATAGACCTCACAGGAGAGTTTAGACCTTGCCACCATCACTGGAATTAAAAGTTATTCACAGGTAACAGATACTTTTGCCCTCTCTACAAGTTATATTAATTCCAATTCCCTCATATAATCTCTTATCAAGTTCATACTACCCGGCAGCATCCTAACAAGACTGTACAGGCTGAGGCAAAAAAGTCCCACACCTTGGTTAGAAAGTCGCCCTCCTCATCACATTGGAGCAGAGGCACACCGGCAAAGTGGTGTGGACTTCGGCTTTATTCACGGGGCTCTTATCTGGTGCCTTTTCACCAGCAGTAACAGCAATTTTCAAGCTAACATTTTAATAAAGGCAGGTTTTCTGCAAGCATATAAACAAGCTCATTAAAAAACTTGCCTAAAATGTCATTTTTCAGCTTCCTGGAAGCTTCCTAATGTAGGTTACTGGAAAACTTTATTTTCATATACATCTATTTGTTTTTTAAAAATAACCGCAGCCCACGAGCAGACTTCCTCCTTACACAACTGAAGAATTGTGAGTCAGAAACGTACAATATCTACAATAAGGAATTTACATTCCAGCTTCCCACAGTTCCTCCCAAATGACCGTTACCCTTTCTGAGGTATAAAAGAGTAACCAGATAACTAAGCAAACAATGCATAACAGTCCTAAAAAAGGCATAGCTGAGGAATTCAGAAAGCAACTGTGTATGTCTTGTATTAAAAAGCACTTACATGCTGAGATATGTAGTACTGAAGGGATCAATGCCTTCTGCGGAAAAAATAATTAATGATTATTCCCTTTGTTTAAAAACATACATTCCTATGTCATGGCTTTTGTGAAAAATGCAAATAATTTAAATTATTTTTTTCTTTTTTTTTTAATTCTAAGTTCATAAAAATATGAAAACCGATACCACTGCTAAAAAGATGTTCCGTTCTCCTCACGTGACTATTTCCGCTACCTTAAGTAAGAGTACAACTCCTATACTTTATGGTAACTGTGTGCAGAAAAGTTTAAGTTCCATAAGTTAATGTCTTATTTTTCATTAAATGGGTTTCAGTAGCATTAGGAAGGGCTTTGTTGGGTAGGAAATTTTGTTGAGGGAAAATTGTTACATTTCAACATTAAAGAATTATTTTGAATTTGAATGTTTTAACGTGCCAAAAATATTGAAACAAGACTGAGAGAGGAGGGAGACAACACCTTTCCACCTGATGCTGCTCCGTCCCAGCTACATCTCAGGACCTAACGCTCTTGCAC